TAGCAACCTCCTGGGGAAAGAATGGTTTTCCTGTTCACGAAGATCATTGGGCTGGTAGGTGCTGTCTTCCCTCACCCCTTCTTCCTATGGACTCAGCATGCCTGGCCACACAGGAGAGACTTGGTGGACCAATGGGGATGGGAGGAAGCCCCGGTGTGGTCCTCCTACTCCGGGTGGATGGGAATGGTTCTTTCTCCTAGGGTCATTGGGTGGGAGCATTCTTGTGGGCCCCATGGTCAGGAATCACTTCTAAACTTTTCTCTGTGTCACCAATGTGACTTTAGAGACAGTCACCATATTACCCAGAACTAATGAGTATGCCAGACTTTCCCTATGAGTATGAATCATTGAATGCTACAGGTTGGTAATAAAGAAATAAGTTTCTTCAGCATATACATTGAGTGGCCAGATTATTATGATCTCTGAACACATAATAATCTGGCCACTCAGTGTATATCCTATATAATAAAAGGCTAATATGCAAATTGTCCTCTGGCCCAGGAGTTTGACCAGCAGGCAGGCCAGCCAACCACCCATGTCCCTCCCCTGGCCAGGCTGGCCAGACCCCACCCATGCACAAATTCATGCACTGGGCCCAGACTAATATATATACAGTATATATATTAGTATGTATGTATACACACACACACACACACACACACACACACACACTGAATGACCAGATTATTATGCGTTCAGAGATCATAATAATCTGGCCACATATTGAAGATGCAACTTAAAGATGCATTTGGCTTCTTTCTCAACTGAATGGATTTTCAGCTATTACTCTCAGGTTGTTGCCAAAATATTAATGAGATGCTTTCCTAATTTAGGACAGGATCCTAAATGTCTTTACTCTGCCATACTGTGTGCCATGCTTTGGTACCACCTTGGCAATCAAATGGATTCAAGACCCTTGTACGTTGCTATTTAGTAGATTCTCTGACACAGGTGTGTTTTGCTATTCCGTGGGTCTCTCTCTACAGGTCAGTTTCCCCCTTGATCTCCAAATCCCACAGCTTGGACCTTTAACTACTAAACATTGCAGGTTTCTCTGGCCTTGCCATCAAAAGCCTGTAGCATAACCTGACCCTGTAACAAGCTAACATACAGTACATGTATATATGACATATAACTGACTACATACACAAGGGACTCTTCATCAGAAAATTTCTCTGCAAGACCAAATGTCCCTTCTTCAAAAAGATAGCAAGTTTTGCTCAAAGCCTGCCTGCCACAGGCCAGTAGATTTTTATAATTAATCCTAATGCCACAAAATAGCACCCCTGAGAAAGTGGGTTTTCTTTTCTGGATGGAGGATACCTGCTCCCTTTGGGGTCCTTGCTGCCTTTCATGTCACAGTCTCTAGAACCCCCAAATATCTCACTGTGTCCCAGAACCCATTCTCTCTGGTTTACACACAGCCCTGTGGGAAACCAAGGGACAATACAGCCAAGGGGCTTGCCCATGCAGAGACCTAGACCCTTTCTCTTTTGCAAGACAGACGGTGGGTGAAGATGCTAAGGTGGGTGAAGATGTTAAGTATGGTGTTATTTCTTCTCAAGGTTGTCAGCACATTATCCTGCTTGGTTTTGCTTGAGGGCGTTGTGGATGGCTGTGGAATTGAGTCCAAGGGGATGGACCGGGAGCTGGTGGGAGGAGGAGGCTGTTCCACGTGATCCTGCCACAGAGCTAATGGAGGCAAATGAGAACCGGTGCACCCTTATTTGTAGCATCTGGGCACAGACACGCTGGGTGACATCTGCCTGGTGACTGGCATTGCCCGGTCTAACCTTGTATGAGTATGTCTGTCTCTCCTCAACACATCCACATGTGTTACCCAGTGGTCAGGGTTCTGCAGACTCCAGGACTCTGCTCTGCTCCAAGATGACATCCTCATGGACAGCTGTTGAGCCTTTGACCTCCTATTGTGCTCACAAGTCACCCTGGAGCAGCTGCCTCTGCTGTATGGTCAGAGATAACCTTAGCGATGGGCCCCCAACCACCTGAATGAGGAGTTCCCGGTGGCTGGGGCTGCACAGAAGCAGGCTGGAGCTGGCTTGGATTAAAACGTTTCACTACAACGTTTCTGCTATTAGAGCCCTAAGAGTCCCAAATTCTCCAGGCCTCCAGGGAAATGTGCCTCAAGAGGACATCATCAACTTGGAAGGGCAAACCAGCATGGCTGGCAGCTGTTTGAGCTGCTGGCTTCCTTCAGAGCCTGGGAGTGCTGGACAGCCTTGCTTAGTCCACCTCACAGGTATGGAAATAGAAAGGTGACAAAAATGAAGTCCTTTTCTCTATCTGTTCCCTGTTTTAGCTCCTTCCTCCTCGATCTGGTGACTTTTCCTGATCACTCTGCCCCTCCCAGCATCCCTCACTGGGCTGGGCATGTAGTTTCCAGTGATGGGCATCTTCGCTAGGAGCAACCTGAGACACACAGGATGTCCTCAGCATCCTTCCCATGTTTATAAAGAAGGTGAATGCACTTCCACTTGGTGTTCTATTATAGGAACCCTTGTGACCTTGTTACCCAGAGAGGAATGAGAGAGAGAGAGAGAGAGAGAGAGAGAGAGAGAGAGAGAGAGAGAGAGAGAGAGAGAGAGAGAGGGAGAGAGAATATGAATAGGAATCTGATTTCCTTCCGGTGGAATATTCTAACTCATATTGCATTACTTTAAAATAACTGATCAAGATTTTCAATTTCTCCTACACTTTTATTTAGCAAACAGCAATATACTCCATTTACTATTCAATTTCTCACATCAATGAAATTTTGACTTCTATTTTAGAATAAATAAATCTGAAGGGGCACATTTATGAACCAAACTTTGTTTGCCCTCATGAAGGTGGAACTTAGAATTCCTGATTATAAACTAGGAACACAGGTGAGACGATACCATTCCGGCAGCCAAGCTTCTGCTCCTCAGGTTTGTAAGGAATACGGTTCATGGCCCAACTCCCCCCGCACCCCCCCCCAAAAAAAAAAACATACCCTAACTCCCAGCATGAGGTATCTTTCCATGTATGGTGTAATTCAGGGTGAACATTTTTTAAAACTTTCATATTATTGTTTTTCACTGGGAGCAGCTATCAACACATAACCTGGAGTTTTCCTTCACTTTCAAGCTTTCAGGGTGTTACACACACTGCTTCGTCCTGTACCTTCACACCAAGGGGCACTGCGCTTCTGTCTTCCTCTGCTGAGCTGGTGAACTCTGCAGTCATCAGCCATAAAGGGCAACACAGTTTGTCCCCGAGGCGGCTTACCTGCATGGCTCCCCCTTGGTTGTTATTCTGAGCCTATTCCCCACAAAGATCGGAATAGTCCATGTTCCTGGGAGCTGAGCCTTTTACTAAACTCTTTCTTACCCAAAACTGGGGGCTCAGAATCTGAAAAAGATCCCTTTGTCATCTTATCCTTCCAAGTCTCTCACGTGCTGCCCTTCCCACCGTCACTCCGGAGGGTGATCCCAGGGAAATGCAGCCCCAGTGGTTTCTGAAATCTCTCCAAAGGCTTGGCGGCCACAGGAAGAGCAGAGCAGCAGGCACAACCCACAGAGGGAAGGGGACAGCACGGTGGTGACACTGAGCACAGCGCTCTGATCCGTGTTTCAAAGGCAGAGAGAGCAAAACAACTCAAAACACTAACTGGCGAGTGTCAGCCTTGTTCTTTAAAGAGCTGAGTGACACGAAACAGAAAACATTCTAATGACCTGTGATTAAATTTAATACCCGAAACAGATGGTGTTCTATTCCCGCCCCCCAAATGGGTTGCTCACCTGACTGGAAAACCATTTCTGAGCCGGCACCCCAAGCCCAGTGGCCTAACCTCCACCCCACCCAAATGTGAATTGATTCCTTTCCTTGGGAAATCTGACTATAAAATCATTTACTTTCTTCTAATCTAGTTGGTACTCAAGGGTCAAAATTTAACCATGTTATTTATTTGAAGAAATATTGTTACACTGAGCCCCAAACGGCCAGGAAATGAGGTTCTGATAAATTAACCAGGTGTTTCCCTATCCCCTTTGGTTAAAAGGATAGGTTTGTGTGGGTACTTCTCTAGATTTCTCTGAGAAAGATTTACACAGCTTCCATTCTAACTGCTCCTTCCCGTACATTCCTAAGGACCCCTAATGCTTTCAGCTCCAGTTGTGGGTTTGAGACTGGACCCTTGAACTCCCAGAGGGCAGAATCCAGCAGGGCAAGATCAGCTCTAAAAACCCACCATCCCTCTGAAGGTGGTGGTGGGTTTTGTCCCTTCATAAAAAAAATGTAGAGATGTGTACAAAATCACCTGAAGCTCCGTTTTTAAATCCTTGTTGAAACCGCTGGATGCAGAAAAATAAGCCCACCTTATGATGACTTTGAAAATATTTTATTTGAATAGTAAATAGTTATACAGTCGAAACAGTTCTATTGAAGCTGTCTATAAATAGCTAACAATTAAGAAAATAATGTTATGTAGAAAAGAGATTGCATTTAAAAGTAAGAGCTGTTGGTTGTACAAGGGCTCGGGCGGGGGCCCTTGAAGCAGAACAAAATGGAAGGTTGTCTGTAATTTGCTCGGATAGGTATAAAAGTTAAAACTTTTAGCAGATCCCTTTAGAAAAAGGCTCTCTTGTAAAATGCACAGTGAAATGTCGAGAGTGGCTGGGGGAGGAAAAAGCACACACCAAGAAAGAAAAAAGATCTGCAATCAAATAATATCTCAATCTTCATAATTAATATAAATAAATAAAGAATAAATAACAATTACTCATAAATCAACATATACATTTTAGAGGGAACTCAAGACAGTCCTACCTCAGGCAACAAAAGGCGATCAAACCAAAACGTCTTCGCGTGAAATATTGAGGCAGTTTCTACAGCATCTTCTGAAAAGTCCCTTCCCTCCCCCGCCCCCCCCAAAAAAAAATAAAAACCAATCCCAGACGACAGTTCAAGGCATTTGTGGCTATACTAAAGAAAACTTCTTTTTCTCTTAAGCAATTTGATTTGTTCACATACAAAAAGGTAAAGCCAAACTCCAGCAGTTCACAAGCCATAATAAAGCTAATCGTGTGGGGAAGTTCAATTTACAGCCTGTGAAAGATAAAGGCATTGATTCCTCAAGGTTCACCCAAAAAACAACCCGTACGCTACATACATTAGAGAGCAGAAACTGGTAGGCGAGAGCAAACCGCATTTCTAGACCATGAACACAGCGAATAACTAGCAAGGAAAACCGCTCTCCCCTCCGAGGGAGGCTTCCAACCACGAGACAAACGCGCAGGGCTCTTCTCCCGGGTACAGAAGGGATCGGCTCCTGCTGCGCCAAGGCGGGGTGGGGGGAAAGTGACACAACGCAAAAGGGAGCTCCAAAGGGAGTCACAATGACAGGATCGGGGTGACCGTCACGCCACATCAAGAGAAGCGGAGACAACACTTTGACCGGGGGTGGGCGCCCCCCGGCTCGGACGCGGGTTTGGGCGCGCGGGGCGCGCGCTCTCTCCGTGGGTCTGCGGCGAAGGCACAGTTTGGAGGGCCGGGAGGGAGGGCGCGCTCTAGCAGGCCGGCCGCACGGGCACCTGCAGCAGGATCACCTGTCTGTTCTCAGAAGGGTGGCACTTGTTGATGTGCCGCGTGAGGCCGGGCGAGCTGTAGAAAGTGGCGGGGCAGTACTTGCAGGGGAACACCTGGGCGGCGTGCAGCAGGCGCAGGTGGCGCTCCTGGGCGCCCTTGCTGGGGAACGTCTCCCCGCACACCGGGCACAGGTGGCACTCGGCGGGGGCGCTCAGGCCCAGCGCCCCGGCCGCCGCCTCGCCGTCGCCGGCCGCCTCCTGCGGCGGCGCCTTCTCCTGGGGCCCCGGGTACAAGGCCAGCAGGTCCTCCGGCGGCGGCGGGGGCGCGGGCGGCGCAGTGCCCTTGGCCTGCAGCGCCTGGTGGTGCGCCAGCAGGTGCTTGCGCAGGTAGGCCTGGCGGCGGAACTTCTTGGCGCAGTGGTGGCACTCGTACAGCCCGTCTTCCGAGCCCGACTCGGAGACGCCGCCGGGGCTCGGCGTGTCGCGGTCGCTGCCGCCGCCGCCGCCGCCCGTGGCTTCCCGAGCCTCAGCCCTGGCGGCGGCTTCGGGCTCGGACGCCCGGGCGGCGGCGGCGGCAGCGGCGGCGGGTGGCGGGCGCGGCTTGTGCCAGCGGCGGTGCGAGGCCAGGTTGGCCGGGCAGCTGAAGACCTTGGCGCACTCGGGGCAGCGGTACTCCACGCGCACGATGCGCGAGCACTTGTGCTGCGCCAGCGCGAACGGGTCGGCGTACTCCTCCTTGCAGAGCTGGCAGATGAACTCGCCCAGCGGCCGCGCCGCGTCCCCCGCGCGGCCCCGCGGCGCCTCCACCGGGCCCTCCTTGATCTTCAGCCCCAGCACCGGCGACGTGGTCACCTCGTCCTCGAAGTGCAGCTTGCGGATGGCTTTGGGCTTCTTGGCGCTCGGAGCCTTGGCTGCTTTGGCGGGAGGCTCGGCGGCGGCGGGGGCCGGGGGCCGCTTGCCCGGGGGCCTCAGGGAGGCGGCGGCCGGGGCCAGCGGGGGCCCGGGCGCCGGGCCGCGGGTCGCCTCGGCACCCCCCGCCGGGAACGCCGTGCCCATCTTGAGCTCGGCGGGCGCGAAGAAGAGCGGGTCGCCGCTGCAGGTGCCGCCACCGCCGCCCGCGCCGCCGCCGCCCCCTCCGAGCAGCGCGGCGGGCGTGGGGAAGGACTCGGCCGACACCGGGGAGCCCAGGTTGAAGCTGCGCTCGAAGTACTTGTGCTTCTCGTGCTCGCGGCTCACGGGCCGCGTGGGGCTGTAGAGCGGCGCGGGGTGCGCGGCCTCGGGGTTGCCGAAGTGCGCGGCCCGCGGGCCCGGCTGGGGCGGCAGCGGGCGCGGCGCGCAGACGAGCGCGGCGGCGAGGGCCGCCTGGGCGCGCTCGGCTGGCGGCGGCGGCTGCCGGGGCAGCGGCCCGGGCCCCGGGCTCGGCGCGGGGGGCTCGGGGCGGGCGCCCCCGCATCCCGGCGACAGCAGGAGCGCGCGGTCGCCGTCCTCGCAGCCGCGCACTCGATAGGACACGGGGGTGGACTTCTTGCTGCGCTTCACCAGGAATCCGCGCGGCATGGTGGCGCGGCGCGAGGGCCAGGCGCCGGCCGGGTCCCGCCTCCGCGCTCGGCCGTGGCGGCCTCAGTGGCCCCGGCCCATGCCCCGAGCGCGGCGGCGGCGGCGGGACTCGCGTGGCGCCGGCGGCGGCGGCGGCGGCAGCTTGGCCCGGCTCTGCGCCCTGCGTGCGCGCCCCAGTGCCCGGGCCCCGCAGCCGCTCCCTTTTAACGGGGGGAGGGGGCCATTGTTCTCGCCTCCCGCTTCCCCCGGAGCCAATCAGCGCGCCGGCAGCTCCGCCGCCGGGTGGGGTGGGAGGGCGGCGGGGCAGCCAAAAGGGAGTCGGGACGCCGGGGTCGCCCGGTAGGTGCGGCAGATGTACCTGAGGGCAAGGGGCCCCCCGCGTGCGCCCCGTCGCCGCCCCGCCCGGCGCCGCCGCCCCGCCCGCCCGGCCCGGCACACGCCCGGCCCCGCCTCACTGCACGGTCCGCTGCTCCTCTATGCGAGGCGCACGTGCCGAGGCTTTGTGTGTCTCCTCCGGGGCGCCGAGCCGCCAAATGGACCCGTCCGTCAGCGCCACAATGCGCGCCCCCCTCCCGCGCGGGGATTACCCGCGGGTCGCGAGCAAAATAGCAACAAAGGAGGAGAATGGCCCCAAATATGTCAGGAGGATTCGGTCCACGAGCCGGAGCGGAGCGGAGGGGAAGTTGGGTGGGCATAGTGGGTAGGGGTGGCGGTGGGCCACAGCAGGCGACGGGACGATCGGAGTGCGGCTGCTGGGGCGGGAGGGGGTGGGGTGGGGTCGGGGTAGGCTCGGGAACTCCTCGGGGTGTCTAGAAGAGAATCAAGAATTGGAAATAGCTGCAAAGCCCGGGCTGCCTGGAGTCCCCACCCGCGCTTCGGACTTCGGGTGGGCCGGGAGACTCTGGGTCCGAGAGAAAACGGAGTTCCACGTTTAGGTGGATGGTGTGGCCGTTGGCTGCAGCGGAGGGTGATGTTTGCTTCCGTCCGCAGCCAGGGCCCGCGGCCCTGGTCCTTGGGAAGGTCTCTCTCGAGTTTGAGAAGCAGCAGTTGGTACAGAAGGCGCTTCTTCCTTTGCCAGCAGATGCAGCGCTGGAGGGTGAGGGGGGCGGACTGGGATGGGTTCCAAAAAGAACTTGAATTTCTGAACTTTTTTTTTTTTTAGTTGCGGGAAGTTTGGAGATGGGCATCCTCCGAGGGTCCGGAGTAGCCCGCTCGGAGCCCCCACGCCTCCCAGGGCTGGGTGGATTCGGGTGGTACGGACCAAGGTTCGAACTCGAGGTCAGCCGCGCGCGCCCCGGCGAAGTTGGTTTCCGCTCTCCTCCTCGTGCCGCCTCATGCATTTTCATTCCGAGCGGGCATTTTGTCTGCCGGTTGACATCAGATGCTAAATCAAGGGCTCCAATCAAGGCTCTGCGAATAAAGGGGCCGCCTGTCTCCACGCAGGCCTCCCTTCCCCACCCCCACCCCCCCAAGCCATGCCCCTTCACCTTTGTGAAGGAAATTAACCTCCAGCTATTGAGCGGCGGTCGCGGCCAATCTGGACGCAAAAGCGGCGCGTGCTGCTGGCGGAGAGGGAGGGGGGCAATCTGTCCTCCGAGGCGGGCCGTGGCCTCGGGAGGACAAGCTGCGCCCCCCTCCCTGCGCCACCGGGAAAAGACAACAGCGAAGATCGCATGAACCCAGTCTTGGCCCTTCGCTTCCATCCTCTAATCAGCCTCGCGCAGTGGAAGCACAAAGGCGGCCTCTGGGGGGGGGGGGGGGGGGGGAGGAGAGACACAGAACCCCAAGACTAGCAGTGGCCCTGATCCCCGTCTCGTTGGGAACAAGTAGCAAAGCCACAGACTAGTGAGTCAAATGTGGTACGCTGTGAGGAAAATGCCACTCGATTGAAAGAGAAGGACATTTCCCTGCAAAAACCTGTGCATCCAGGCAGATTTTGCTGTTTTGCTTATGCTTAATTCCACGGAAGGTATTTAATTGTTTTTGGATTTTCCCTCGGAAAATACCCTGGCTTGGAAATTTGATAGAATTTTAAAACACGAGCAGTAAATTGTAAAGGGACAGTTGTTAGGATTAACCAAGGGAAAAGGTATTTGATGATTTTCTTTGTGATTATTTTTCCTAACTCACAGACTTAAAAGAGAAGGATACCTATAATGGAATTATTTCGAAAGCTCCCGTTCTTGTTTTTTGTTTTGTTTTGTTTTGTTTTAATGTTAAGTGCGATCACTGCTAATTCTGGAAAGAAGTTAGGAATCCTAAAATAAGTTGATCTAAAATGTATACGTGTGTTTCCATCTCAAAGCAACTGATGTTATTTCCTTGCCGTTGTGAGCGCTGATGAATGCTGCCAGTGAACAGAAGTGGGAAAGGGATTCCGGGACAGCTTTGGCCAATTTTATTTTCTAATCACGGATCCCATCTGGATTGTGGAATAATAGGGCGGGGGCTGGGTCGGCCATCCCTGACTGACTGCAGGAGGAGGGGCGGGGGAGATCTGGTCCTGCATGTGCAACACTCCTTTCATTCAACAGATATCGGGGAGGGTTTGTCACCTGGAGAATCCTCTAAAATAACACCCATCATTGTAAAGAGATGAGGGAGGGGGGAATGAAGGGGGGACTCCCGCAAAACAAAACGCCTGCCTAAATGCAAGGAATTCAAACAGGTCTCTGAATTAAGCCAAGAGAATCTTTTGAAAACTAGACACTGAGATTCAATGGATGGACCCTTTCCTTTTATTTTTTTCACTTGTGGTTTCTAGTCTTGCCAGTGGAAGTGAAATATGCTTTCAGATGGGCACGGTCAAAATAAATGGGCACTTGAAAGGTACAAGTATTAAACACCACCCACAGCGGGCGGCGGAGGGGGAGAGAATCAGGTTGGGGGCACCCAGCAGCCTCTGAGAACGGGCACTCTTGCACCCAGTCGTGGGTTCCCGCTGTTTTCTCCGTGACTTTATTTCTGGGAACCCGTGCACCTGCGGGGATGGGGAACCAGGGATGGGGACCCGGAGCTATTTGTCCTCCCCCGGGGAAGAGCGCAGCCGCCCGCTGCCCTAGCACACGGGTGCCGCCTGGAGGAACTGAGCTGGGGGAGCGCTGAGCACTGATTTGCGCCCCAACCCACCCTTCAGGGGAGCTTCCCTGAAGCCCACAGGCATGAGGAACCCAGGAGGGCCCTCGAGATGTCCTCCCCTGGTCCCAGGGGACTCTCCCTTTCCTGTGGGGCCCTGGCGAGTGCTTCGGAGAGACGTGGCAGCCTCCATCGCTTCCTGTCCGTGCGGCCCCGCCGGTGGCTCCTTGCTTGGCCTGCGGGGCTCGGGCCGCTGGCGCCCCAAATCGTCCCGCCTCGGTCCCCAAGCCGCCGTTGGCGCGCGCGGGGGGGTCACTATGACCTAGCTCCAGGGAGTTTCTAGAAAGCCTGGAGTATGGACATGAGCACTAAAGGGGGGCATATCGGCCTAGAAATTGCCTCTTGGGGTGTCCGCCAGCCCAAACAACCCCTGAGCCCAGAAAGGCAGAGACCAGAAGGTCCACAGTCTCATCCCTCGGCGCCCGCCGAGTTGGAGACTCCAGGGAGGAGCGACAGGGAGTTGTCAGATTCCCCCCCCCCCCCCCCCCCCACACACACACACCACCTCCCACACCCCAACCCTCCCTTCGGGCTGAGTTCCTTCCTATTTACAGGAGCCCCACCCCAGGCCCTCCTGGATCCGGAGCCTCGATCCCAGCCTGGACCCCGTTACCGCCTGGGAACCCGCCGGCAGTCCCTGAGGGCCGGGGCCCGGAGGCCTGAGCCGGGAGAGCTTTGTGTTTGCAGGAATGAGGGGCTGTGTGTCCGCCCCGAGGGCACGCGAGAGACACGCGCAGCCCTCCTGCCGCCCGCGCCCCGCTCGCTGGCCACTCCGGCCGCCCGGCACCTCCCGAGCCCCCGCCCGCCCGCCCGCGGGCCGCGCCTTTGTTCGGCACATTAGCATAAAGCTGCCCGGGATCTCCCTTTAAATAATTCCACACAAAAGGAGAGAGCCTGAAAGAAAGCGAACAAGGCAGAGCCTGCGAGGCCGTGCCGTCCGCCCGGCGAGGAGCGGCGGCGCTCGAGTGCGTCCCTCCCCTCGAGGTTCAAGGGCCCCCGGCAATCTGCTGCGCGCAGGGTCCGCGGGGGGCCGGGGAGGAGTCCCCTCTTTAGGCCCAGAGTGTGCCCTCTGAGCACCGAGCGAGCCCCCAAGTGCCTCGGGACTGTTTGATTTTGCCTCGGGCAGGACCGTCCAGGCCGGGTGAGGGGTCGGGGGGCGGGAAGCAGGACGGTCCCGGGTCCGGTCATTGGAAAGAGAGTGCAGGCAAAAGCCGGCAAGGGTGAAGGTGGACAATGTGGGAAAGTCATAATAGGGACGTGGGCCCAGACGCGCCGGCGGGGCAGCGAAGGGACAGGATGACATTGAACGTGGGCGCAGGAGGGGCTGCTCCCGCCTGGGAGGTGGCGGCCCCCTGCTCCACGCGCGCCTTCGTCTCCGAAAAGGCACCGACAAAACCCGCTGGAGACGGACCAGGAAGGCCACTGCTCCTCCATCCCTTCCTCTCGTCTTCCGCCTGGGTGGGCAGGAGACCCTGGGGGCCAGGAGCTCGGACTTTTTCCACCTTGGCCTGAGTTCCCCTATTCTTGTTTCTGCTCTTGGTTTTGGGTTTCTGTATTCTTCCCCGATTCCTAGTACTCTGCTCTTGTCCACCCTGTCTTCCTCTTTTCCTCCCATCTCTGCCTCTTGCCCTCTCCTCTCCTCCCCTCTCCCCTTCTCTCCCACCCCTCCGCCTCTCCATGTCTCTGCCCTCCTCGTCCTGGTTTCTCCCTCTCTTTCTCCCCCTGTCCAACCCCTATCCCATCACTCTCCTTCTCTTCCCACCTCTCTTATTCCTCCAGTCTTTCCCCATCTCTCCCAATGATTCCCCCATTTCTCCTCTGAGACCATCCAGCCCGCTCCTCCAGACTCTTCCTGCCTCTCCTCCACCCCTTCCCCGATCTCCTCCCCTCTGGGCCCTCACCTCTCTCCCCATCTCCCTCCCCTCACTCCCACTCTTCCCTTCCTCTTCCCCCTCCTTCACCCCGCCCCCCTTGTCCCTCTCCCAACTCTCCCTTCTCCCGGCAGGCAGGCCAGCGTGTGTTATTTTATTTGTCTAGAGAGAGCCTATTTGTTCAGTGATGTGTGGCCTCCTGGCCGCCAGCTTTAATGGGGGACCGAGAGGCTTGGTTTCTGTGAGCATTAGCATACAGCTGCCCGCTCCTGGGCTCACTTTATCCCAGCCTTATCGTCACCTCTTCTCCCAACCAGAAACAATCAACAGCTCCGCACACAGGGACTCTGCAGCCCTGATCACCCAGGGCGATTGTGTTTCTCTCTCTCTCTCTCTCTCTCTCTCTCTCTCTCTCTCTCTCTCTCTCTCTCTCTCTTTCCTCTCTCTCATTTTCTCTCTCATTATCTCCCTCCCTTCCTCTCTCCCCCTTCTAAGGGTAAATACAGATTCGCTGGCTTTACATTTTATCCTCCATGTAGTTTCTTTCCTCTGCCACCTCCTCTTATATTTTCCTTCTGCCTTCCTGTGATATTTGGGTGAAATATGAGGAGCCATTTGGGGAAAGGAGGAGGCTATGCTCTATGGCAAACCGGCATATGCCAGGAGATCCTTTAGAGGCATCTGAGAGGCATGGTAGTTGCATGTGATTTGGGGAAAACTTGGGAAAATGAACTTTGGTATTTTCTCATCAGAATGCTTTGTTCAAAACTACAGAATTCCAAAATCAGACTTAGAACCCAAGATGTCCCCAGCTCTACAGCAAACACTGAAACACATGGGAACTTCATGATGCAGTCTGTCCCCACAGAAGCTGTGCCTGTGCGAGCCCAGAGAAGTCCCAATGTTGGTCTCTTTGAAGCCCTTCTTTTGCGAGTCTTCACCGTTAGTAAGGAGTCAATATCTCCATTCTCCCAATGCCCTTAAGCCAGCCCATTTCAACCTGGATCAACCACTCTTGGGCACTTCCCTTATTCTTAGGAAAGTTGTTCCCCAGTGGTAAAATGTATGCTAAAATCCATGCCTAGATCCCCCAAATTACTCACTCACTATGAGATGATGGCTACAACCACCTCATCTGATACACTTTGCAGACTAAAATGTAATCTAGACATTTTCAAATTTGCCGTGATACTTAGGGAGGTTCAAGACTGCTTTTTAAAGAGCAGCAAAGGAAAGCATTAAGTGTATGTATGTAAGCATGACTCAGTATTAAAATTGGCGTTGCCATTTGGGGTTCCTTTAACATGACTAGATGCTTTTTAATGGCAGTACTTGATCACAGAAATCATAACTGTTGATCCTTTGAGGTTGTTCTGTTAATCTCCACCCAAGGGTCACAGACACTCACTCTTTGCTGACCAATGGACCCAGGGCCTCTGAGGGGAAGGGAGTGGGAGGGACTCATTCACAGACCCTTGAAGTAGGGTCCTTAGGTGTTGGGATGGCAGTTTGAGGAGTAAACCAGTAGCGATTGTTCTCAGTTCAGGTTACACAGGTTACCATGTGACCGAGGCTGGGTAAAACACACATGTGAGGGAATTCGTGGAGTTTATTGCTCACTTCTACCTGCATTAGAAAAATCAGTCTCTAGTGTGCTAGAACAATGTTATTTTTGAGAAGAATCAATTTGATGATAACGGATGTGAAAAATCTGAAATGCCAACTACAACTTTCTACCTAATAGCTGTGTTATCCTTCTAATTGTGCCAACTTTTGCTAAACATTAATATGAATGCAAAAACTGAACAAAAACTGGAAATAAGTCTATGGAGACCAAATTTAAGCCCCTGTTGGTCAAAATTCAGCCACAAATAGTGTCACAGTAACACCTAAAAGAGATCCAAATAAATGAAAACAGTCTTGTGTTGTTTCTAAATCTGCATGTTTTCTACTAGGCACTTAATTTTCTTTACTTGTAAGAAGGTCTCTGACCCACATTATAAGTGACATGTAGCAGGCCCCAATGCAAAGCAACAAGACTAAGGGCTTAAGGAAGTCAACTAATTTCTGATTACAATTTTCTATTCTAACACCCATGTATGAAATTTAAAAAAATAAGAAAAAAAATCTGTACGTGTGTTATATTCTAGTTTTTCACTGCATTTATGCCCATGGCCTACAACATGAAATAGAAATACAGGGCCTGTGACTGCAGCCTCCTCATTCCAAACGTTGTCTGACATGTTCCTACCCAATCAGTCCCTTTGCTGTGGGCAGAGTTAATTTCTCATCATCAGTTTTACGAATGGTCCGCGCGGGCACACGATTTTCCTTTCTATTGCCTGGGATTATTACTGGGTAAACATGTGAATAACAAAATTGGCGGCAGACCATTTCAGGAAATGAACGTCATACCCACGGTAAAAACAAGTCTTACACAGTCTGATCTTATTGTGTTGCTAAAATAGATTATTCTGTACGGAAATGTCTGGTATTAGCAGAGCAGCTCCAGGGCCCAGAATAGAGGCGCACAGCCGTGCGCCACCTACTGGGACGATAGAAAATGTCATGCATAAGTGCTGGCGGAGAAGACAAAAAACCCAGGAGACAATGGTGCTTGGCTGTCAAGCCAGGCTTCAGAGAGGCTTCCTACTTATTCAGAGCGCTTCCAGGAACTCCAGGTGTGGAAACAATAAAGCGGAGGACGTGGCCACACTAAATGATGCCTGGCCACGCGTACATGGGCAGGTGGTAGTGATTATACTGCAGGTAGTCAAGGATGCTCCTCTCCACCAGCGACTTGTAGATGCTTTCCTCGAAAACTTTTTTGAGGTATGCCTTAGGCTTCTCATTCAGGCTAATCTCCTCATCGACTAGCTGACAGGCTAACTGTTCCATGGAGGGAGATTCTTCCTCCTGGAAAACACAGTAAGAGGCCAGATACAGAAATTACATTAAGCGCCATGACGAGAACAGTTGCATTAACATGAAGAACATAGTGCTCAGTTCTCCAAGAATGGTTATTGTTTCCTGGCTTTAAAAAAATATTTTCGATTGTGGCCAAGTATACATGTTAAAATTTACCATTTACCCGTTTTTAAAGGTGTATTTCAGTGGCATTAAGGACATTCATGTTGTTATGCAACCATCTCCAGAACTGAAACTCTGTCCCCATTAAACGCTAAGTCCCCACCCTCAATCCTCCCAGTTCCTGGGAACCACCATCCTACTTTCTGATTCAATGATTTTGACTACTCCAGGGACCACATAAAAGTGGAATTACATAGTATTTGTCTTTTTGTGAGTAGTTTACCTCACTTAGCATTACATCCTCAAGGTTCATCAAGCATAGTACTTTTAAGCTCTTGATTTTCATATAAAAAATGATCTTTAATCATGCTTATGTTAAAGGGAGTGATTACGTGTTTTTTTAAATGTTATTTTTATTGATTTTTAGAGAGAGGAAGGGAGAGGGAGAGAGAGATTGAAATATCCGTGATGAGAGAGAATCAATGATTGGCTGCCTCCTGCATGGGCCCTACTAGGGATTGAGCCTGAGCCTGCAAACCAGACATGTGTCCTTGACCGGAATCGAACCCCGGATCCTTCAGTCTGCAGTCCAACATTCTATCCATTGAGCCAAACAGGCTAGGGCTGATTAAATGTTTTTACGTGAAACTCCTAGGTGGTTTACTTCATGTGGCTAGATCCTTAAGAAATAGGATTTTTAAACCTTATAATACATTTGTAAAGCCAAATTTCATTGATATCTCTGAAGATAGGGCTCGCTCCAGAAGAATAAAGTTATGTGAAATTCAGAATCATATGCTGTGCATCTCCCTAATTCCATAAAGATTTCTCCTCAACATTTTATTCCAAAAATATTCAAACACACAGCAAGTTGACAGAATTGTACCTGGATTCCATAGTCAACTTTGCACTATATTTGCTTCATCTGCCCATGTATCTGTTCATAGGAGGATTGTTATAAAAAGCACGTCACCGAGGTTTGAACTGCATGCTTTCTGAACACCACAATAATTGAAAATTACCTTAAAGGACTTTGATGCTATGTTATTTGAACTTCCAATAATTATTTTTATTTTGAACAAAAAAAGTGGATAACTTACAGAGTTCCACTGGATCATTAATTTATTAATAGTAAGAACTTATAGATAAAAATATATTCCAACTATAGGGAGGCATAGGGAAATTATCACTTGGTTTTTTAAGCAAGACCCTACTAGATATTAAAGGTGCTGAATCACTTGATTGCCCACAGCACCCCAAGCTTATATGCTGCGATAGATACGAGGCTTGTCTCAAGCAAAAGCCATCGATTTATAATTATTTTTATTCCCACAATAATTCCCGCTGCTCTGATATGGGGGTAAATAGTATAAAGTCACAACATAGAGCTTTTAAATTTACCTGAGACAAACAGTGCTCTCTAGATGGTAAACAGGTTTTTTTGTGCTTTTCATTTGATTCTTATAGTGTGATCTCTCTCAGTGTGACCACCTTCCCTCTCAGTGTGACCAGCTCCCCTCTCAAAGTGCTCACCTATGACCAATTCACATCCCAATGCCACATAAAGTACATGATCCTTTGTGTTTGGTTCTTTTATTTAACATAGTGTTTTGATGTTCATCCACTTTGTATAATGTCTCAGGACTTCATTTCTTTTTATGGCAGAATAATGCTACATTCTGTGGATATACCATGCTGTTTATAATTGATCCATTGATTGCATTTGAGCTGTTTACTCTAATGTTCATAGCAGCACTATTCAGAGTGTCCCTTTGGATTTTTAAATTCTTTGAATGTACATACCTAGGAGTGCAATGACTAGGTCATGTAATAATTCCATGTGTAAGTTTTTGAGGAACCATCAAACCATTTTCCACAGCAACTGCACAATTTTACATTCCCATCAGCAATGTGTGAGGCTTCCAATTTTTTTTTATTCTTGCTAATACTTGTTATATTATTACTTTTTTTTTGTAGAGCCAACCTAGTGGATGTAACATGACATTTCATTGTGGTTTTGCTCTGCATTTTCCTAATGATTGATCATGTAAATATCTTTACATGTAAATGACTTTACTTCTGGACTCTCAGTTTTATTTCATTGATCTGCCTATCTATCTTTATATAAGTACCACCCCTGTCTTGGATACTATTGATTTGTAGTAAGTTTTAAAATTTTATAGAGATTTTATAGAGTACTAGAGGCCTGGTGCATAAAATTCATGCACTGGAAGGTGAGTTGTGTGTGTGTGGGGGGGTGTGTGGGGGGGTGTCCCTCAGCCTGGCCTGCACCCTCTTGCAGTCTGGGATCCCTCAGGGGATGTCCACCTGCCAGCTTAGACATCTAAACTGGCAGTCAGATATCTCTCTCATAGTCTGAGGTTCTTGCAGTCCAGGACCCCTTGCTCCTTACTGCCCACCTGCAGCCCTGTACCTGGCTTCTGGTTGAGTGGCACTCTCTCAGGGGAAGCACACTGACCACCAGGGGGAAACTCCTGCATTGAGCGCCTGCCCCCTGGTGGTCAGTGCATGTCATAGCGACCAGTTGTTCTATCAGTGGTTCTGCCATTTGGTCAATTTGCATATTAGGGTTGTATTATATAGGATGTCCTTTGATTTTTGTTTTTACAGCCAAAAGTGTTTTGGCTGCGTGGAGTCCCTTGTATTTCCATGTAAATTTAGGATTGGCTTTTCCTTTTACAAAATATACCATTGGGATTTTGATAGGATTGCATTGAAGTGGTGGATTGTTTTGGATAGTATTGCCATCTTAACAATATTAAGTCTTCAAAACCATGAACACAGACATGTTTCCATTTCTTTGGTTTCTTTCAGAAATGCTTTGTTTTCAGTGTGCAAGTCTTGCACCTTCTTGGTTAAATTTATTCCCAAGTATTCTATTATTTTGATGCTATCATAAATTGAGCTGTTTTCTCAGTTTCATTTCTGGATTATGCATTGTTAATGTAGACCACTGATTATTGTATGATCTTGTATCGTATAACTTTGCAGAATTTATTTGTTAGCTCTAATGTTATTTTTTGCATGTTATAGGATTTTTTAATATATAAGATCATGTCATTGGAGAAGAGAGATAGTTTTCCTTCTTCCTTTCCAATGTGGAAGCCTTTTTTCTTTTCTTTTTCCTGCCTAACTGTTCTGGTTAGAACTTCTAGTACGTTGTTAAATGTGATGCAAGCAGACATCCTTGTCTTGTTCCAAATCACATAGGTAAAGCATTCTCTCTTTCATCATCATTGTATATATACTTTATTTACTTTATTAGGTTGGGACAGTTCCCCTCTACTTTTTTTTTTTTTTTAAACTGCTCTTACCATGAAAGCATGTTTGATTTAGCCAGATGCTTTTTCTGCATCAATTGAGGGGGTAGCATTTGCCCCCTTCATTCTATTTATGTAGTGTACTACATTGACTAATTTTTATATGTTGAACCACTCTTCCATTTTTTGGGGGTAAATCTCACTTGGCCATTGTTTTATGCTGCTGGATTTAGTTTGCTAGTTATCCTTTGAAGATTTTTGCATTTTAACCCACAGGGAATATTGTTGTGGGGTTTTCTTTTCTTCTTATGTCTTTGTCTGGTTTTGGTGTTAATTCTTTAAATGTGAAGTCATTTGGTCCTAGGCTTTTCTTTGCTGGAAGGTTTCTGATTACTGATTCAATACTTTCACTTTTCATAGATCTGTTGAGATTTTCTATTTCTTCTTGAGTCAGTTTTTGTCATTTATGTGTTTCTAGAAATTTGTACATTTCATCTAGGTTGTTTAATTCATTGGCATACAGTTGTTCATAGTATTCTCTTATAACCCCTTTTTACTTCTGTAAAGTTAGTAGCAATGTCTTTCATTTCTGATTTTAGTAATGTATCTTTTTTCTTAGTCAATTTGATTCAAGGTTTGTCAATTTTGTTGATTTTTTCAAAGAATCAACTTTTGTTTTCATCAAATTTCTGTCATTTAAAAATTTTTCTATTTCACTTATCTCCACTAAAATTTTTAATATTTCTTTCCTCTGCTAGGATTGGGTTTTGTTTTGTTTTCTTTTTCTAGTTCCTTAAGGTATAAAATTAGGTTACTGCCGAAACCGGTTTGGCTCAGCGGTAGAGCGTCGGTCTGTGGACTGAAAGGTCCCAGGTTCGATTCCGGTCAAGGGCATGTACATTGGTTGCAGGCACATCCCCAGAAGGGTGTGTGCAAGAGGCAGCTGGTCGATGTTTCTCTCTCATCGACGTTTCTAGCTCTCTATCCCTCTCCCTTCCTCTCTGTAAGAAAAAATCAATAAAATATATTTTTTAAAAATTAGGTTACTGACTTAAAAACTTTCTTTTTGAAAAAATGTCATTGATTCATTGATTCATTGATTGATTGACAAGAGAGAGAGAGAGAGAGAGAGAGAGAGAGAGAGAGAGAGAGGGATATTGTTTTTGTTGTTCTACCTATCTATGTATTCATTGGTCAATTTTTGTATGTACCCCGATCAAGGCTTGAACCCGCAACCTTGGCATGTTGGGACGATGCTCTAACCAACTGAGTTACCTGGCTAGGGAAAGATCTGTTTCTTTCTTTCTTTCTTTCTTTCTTTCTTTCTTTCTTTCTTTCTTTCTTTCTGTAGGTATTTACTAGTATAGCTATGAATTTTCCTCTGAAAGCTGCTTTTGCTGCATCCCATAAATTTTGGTGTGTTTTCATTTTCATTAATCTCTGAGTGTTTCTAATATCCCATTAGATTCTGTCTTTGAAATAAAAGAAGTTGCTTAAGAATATGTTGTTTAATTTCCACAAATTTGTGAATTTTTGTTTTTTTTCTGTTTTTGATTCCTAGTTTCATTTTATTATGGTTAGAGAATACACTTTGTATGATGTAAATATTTATAATTTATTGACAATCATTCTGTAGTCTAACATATGGCCTATCCTGGAGAATGATCCATGTGTACTTAAGAAGAATGTGCATCTTGCTATTGTTGGGTAGAGTGTTCTATATATATGTGTTAAGACTAGTTCTTTTATAGTTCTGGTCAAGTCTTTTACTTCCCTATTGATCTTCTGATTATTCTGTGCATTATTAAAAGTGAGATAGCGAAGTTTCCAACTATTATTTTAGAACAATCTCTTCAATTCTATCAACGTTTGCTTCATATATCTTGGGGTTCTGTTGTTAGGTATATGTATATTTATAATTGTTATATAGTTCTCAAAGAATTTTGAAGGGCAATTTTTACTCCACATTTCACTCTGGTCAATGATTCTTTGGCTTCAGTCGCAGCTGACTGCAGTGCCAATGGATTTCCTCTCTACGTCCACAAAAGGACTTGAGATGTCTTATAGTGAGCTTCTTTTTAAAATAAATGACATATAGATTTGAGGTGACATAACAGTTACAGATAACTGTCTTTTATTTCATTCTCCACATGTGGAGAAAAAGGAAAATTGATATGCTAAGCTCTAGGATAGCACAGTTTATGGGACTGAAGTTCTGAGTTTCCCTGAGGAAAAGGTAGAAACTGAGATGACATGGGTTACACCAACTCAATATCAAAAAAAGGAATTACTGTTACTCTTTAGAGATGGCTCTACTATTTCCCTAATATCAGATTCTTAAATGAAATTCCTGCATGTGTGCATCTGACTGGCATTTCCACTGTCAGCCTGTCTCCGCCATAACTGTCACCACCACTGCTCCCCGTGGTGATCGGCACGTGCTGACAGCCTTCTTCTGTGCCATGTTCTGTCACACATCACATCCCCTCCTTTGCGCCTTCCTCAGCTCTCCGAAGTGGAAGCAGCTAGTCCCTGTTCCCCAGGGGTCTGAGCTGGAGGCAGAGACCACTGCACACACCACCTCTTCACGTGGCCTTTTCCACTTTACAAATACAAACGTGGAAAACAGAACAGTCCCTGGTAGAGGCTTTTCTTTCAAAAGTTTCACTTTCTGCAAGTCTAAAAACCCACGAGAATGGTTGGGGAGCCATTAGTGTGTCTTCCATAAACGCCCATGGCCACTTCTGACCTCCTGCGAGGACCCGCTGCCCACGCTGTTGGTTTTATAGTGAACAACCCACAGCCAACGTCTGTTCATCGGTACAGGCTGGCAGTTCTCAGCGAATCACTGGGTTTCACAGTTTACCTAGAGAGATGAAGGAAAAGCTTCCCTTTTAAGCTTGACCCCTAAAACCCCTGGCCCTGTGCAAAACATTCACGGAGAGGCTCAGAGCTGGGGTTGAGAGGAATTTGGCACAGGGCTTTGATGGGTAAGTCGTAAAGGGATGGGTGATTACTGTGGGCAGCAGTGAGCTGCAGATGACATTTTGAGAGGCAGTGGGAATGTGTGGCATCAAAGGGAGTGCAGTCTGCACCAGTCTTACCACCCAGACTCAGTTTCCCTGAGCTGAGTCCTCACAGTCAGGGAGGAAGTGCAGGGACTTCCTGACCTGTGGCCGCAGTCCCCTCTGCCCCTCTCATGGACACTTACCTGCCAGGCCCCTATCTATGTGGATCCTAAAGACAATTAAATTTGGTTTAAATGGTAAACCCATTTTTCTCATTCTGAAGCTACTTGAGATTGGCAAAACTATTTCAATTTCCCAGCTTGCACTCCAGGAATAAAACAGAAAAACAGGGGGTAAGGTGGGGGGGCAAGGAAGAGAAGGTGCCAGGCCACACAGTTTGGCCCCGTGTGGCTCAGTGCCTCCGTTCCTATCTTTGGAGTGAGAGACCTTTGAGCTGAAGCTTGCTGGCTACTGCCTTGCCGTGTGACCACAGCCGGTCACTTAAAATCTTCAGCTGCAGAGTCCTCATTGGTAAAGAGCAGAGGGTAACAGCACCTGTGCCCACCCGAGTGGGTGGGCTCCTGTTGGGATGACAACAGAGATGCAGGTCTCGCCCATTGAGACAGTAGAACGTGGTGGAAGCGCAGCCAAGGCCTGCGTGGAGTGAGGCAGAGCCTCTGATGGGTTCTGGGCGGCTTTTTGAGCACAGCTGTTAACCTGTCCCTGCTCTGTGAGGACTCCAGTGTTGAAACAAATAACTTAAAGTTTCACAGATAGTTTACTATTTACATTGCAGAGTCCAATTTCTTGCCGAACAGGGAGACTTTGGGCTGTGTCACCCCACTTCCATCCAAATCTGTGTTGTTTTGAGAGAGAGGTTTTGGTTATAGGAGAAGTGTGCCTGGACATTTGATGACTTCTCTTTACATGTTTAAAACAGCATGTGCACACATGTGTAGTGAAGGCCGGACAGACATAAACTAAAGGAATGCAAGCTTCACTCCTGAGGCCGAGTAGATATAACTCATATTCAGTTTTCAGCCAACACTGTCCGCTGATGATACAAATACAATTGTTTGTAAAAAGGAAAAGAGAAAGTTGCCCCTCATAAAAGGATTTAAAGAACCCATTTTCCCTGAATGTCACCATCATGTTTACATATTCCGTAGTTTGTTTCTATGAAGTACAGGTAGTTTTAAAAGTAAAACAGTAAAATGGGAATGTAGGGGAAAAGTCTAAATGACCAACCATACAAATTGTTTATAATTAGCAAGGAATAACACCGATATCCATTAATCACTCTCACCTTCTTGGAGGTTAACACTTGGCGTAACTCTTTCCTGAGATCAATAAAACGATCGTGAAAGAGGGCCATGCACCAGGGCTCCGTGAAGTAGCTGGTGAGGAAAGAAAAGACTCAGTTAGCTGGAAACCCTCTCATTACCACTAATAAAGTATTTACCTGCTTTCTTTTTGCCTTTGTAAATGACAATCCTGGCCCCACTGCAATCGTTTGCTCATAAAACGCCCCGTGGAACAGCCTGGCCAATCAATTTTTTAAATGGATGTTCCTGATGTAGGGCCAGGTTCCATAATTACATTCAAAGTGGTTTAATTCAAAGCCGGGGCAAGACCCGGTGAAGAATCCTGATTTTATCAGAATTTAAAAGCCTGAAGACTTGTAAAGAACGGTGTCTCCATTATCTGCCCTCATTTGAGAAAAACAGATTGCAGGATTAACTGAACTGCTGCATAAACAAATTAAATTTGGGGAGACAATAACACAAACGTTGCTCATCATTAAGGTTTCTGGATTAATAATGACCAGAAAAACAGGCCGCCTCGGTGTTGCAACACGGTCCTCGTACAATTGCCCTGATGCTTAATTGAATCTCTCTTAGGAGAGCATCTCTCTTAGGGATTTGCATTTGCTAACTTTTCGCAGAAAACTGCTTGGATACATGCTTTCTTTCATGGAAACAGAATGGCCATCCTTGGCTGAAAATCTGACGCATTCTTGGAATAACCAAGAACATTTGTTGGTGTTCTAAACTCTGACTTTATCTGAAAGCTAAGTGTCTCAGAACAGGAAACGTCACTGCTTCAGGGTCAGAGACACATCGATTTAGCGGGCCTCACTCTCACTGGATGTCTGTCATCCCTGTTACTGTTAATGGATGTTATATCTGTGCACAGGGGAAGAAAAAAACAAAAACTGGTGCCCACACGCAGATGGGCACCTTCTGTTTTCCGAGGCTTAAAGTTAATTCTCGGGGAAGCAGCTAATGAGTCCCAGGGCCTACTGAGGTATTAAAGCCAAATCTAATGACAAAAGTCCGTGCTAGGAGCAGCATGGATCCAGCTCTGTCTGTTATTGCCTATCATCCACTCACTTGACCAGAACATGACCCGATTTCATGCTTAATTACCTACTTGGTTGTTCAGATCATATATTCATCCGACTATTAATTTTACGAATATTTACTCCTTCCCCATTCTGTGCTCAGAACTGATCTGGGTGCTGGGGAAACAGCAGGGACCAAAACAGATACACGTTCTCTATATTCGAGCCACAGAAGGTAAATATATAAAATGTTAGAGAATGCTTGGGAGAAAGCATAAATCCAGAAAGGACAGGAGGCCAAAGAAAGGCTAGGTCGCCTAAGGTGGTGACTTACTGAGTGAGGAAGCACCTGAGGGGAGGGGAGCGCCAGTCTGTGGAGATTTCAGGGAACAGACTTCGGAGAGAGGGAACAGCAGGTGCAAACGGTGAGCAGAGGCAGGGCTGTACCCAGACCATGGAGGCAGGCGGGATGGATACAAACAAAGGCGAGTGGTAGGCTATGAGCTCAGGAAGGTGATGGGTGGGAAGGTTGCTCCTAGAGGCAGGGGCATAGTCAAAGCTGCTGTGCAATCGCTCCACAGCTATCTAGCTCAGCATCTGCTGCAACAGGCATCCTGTATTTGTTCATGAAATGAACAAATAAGGAATGAACAGATGCACATTACACTGTATGTATTCTATATGCCTGGCCTTGATTGGTCTTTCATTGATACAGAATAAAATTGTGCCAAATAAATAGGTGACAAAACTCTGCAAAATACCCCAAGTCTGAAGAAAGGAGGACACTCAATGGGAGCAGCGGGAAAGCTGTGTGTGAAACCAGGGTCTAACGATGGTCTTTCTGAGCCCTGCAGCTCACGAAGAGGTGTCAGGTTGTCAGGAGCGTACCCAGTGGAAATCAGTCAGGGACTGCTCACCTCTGTAGATACTCAAGGCCACTGAACTTCTAATGAAAGCAGTCCAATCAGTGGGAGTCCTAGCTACAAGGTTCTGGGCCCCTACAATCCCTGGCCAATGTCCAACATCTAACTCTAGGAGTAAAGATATTGGGTCAGGGCTGGCTGCCCAGGAGGGATCAGCTCTGTGGGGGTGATGTTTTGGCCCGTCTTAGACAGTAGCTTCTTAGACCAACACATCAAGGATAACTGAAGTCCAGACACAAGCACAGCTTTTCCAGGGTGGCTCCTGTCTCTTAGGTCTAAACAATTTCTAGAGAAGCCTGAGGGAACTGTGGATGTGCCAGTTAGAAACCACAGGGCCCTTTTAAACTTGTTGCTCTCTTTCCTCCATTACTGAGTCCTCCCCCACCCCCCTCCACCGTGTGGTTCCGTGCACCATCAGGAGTTCCCGCCCGCCCTCTTGTTTTGATGGTCCACAGCCACCTCTTTCTAATCTAGATAGTGTATGCTCGGTCTCAGCTTTCCTCGCCCAACCTGGCTCTGTTGCCACAACCTGTGCTGTTCAGGCAGTCTTTCTGAACTCTGCCTTCAGAACTCTCATCTCTTCATTGTCTTCTCCAAAGAGTTAGTTCTACGGAAATCCCACTTCCCTTAGGGTCACGCTGCTGCCCACCAGGGGCTCTGGCCCACCATCTAATGCCCACATTTGCATAGCCTCCATTCACAAAGCCAAACACACAGGGCCGGAGAGGTTAGTGGCCCTTAATCCTCTGTCTGCCCAGTGCTTGGGGGGAAGGGATGATGAGGAAGTTGGATGCATTGCTGGCTATGAAACGCCCCATGGCTTCTCACACCAGCATCCAGAAGAAATGGCACCATGGACTTGGCAATCCCTGTTCATATCACAGTATGTTGAACAGCTTACACAGGGGCCTAACAGGGACCTGAAATTGCATTTCTCTCACACTCCCCACCCCTGCCTCCTGTGGAAAAACAGCTTGTTATCCCATCCAGGTCACAGTTTGTATAGCCAACTGCTACCCATATTCCTGGAAATTGCCAGTGTCAGCCACCTACACTAATAAAAGAGAAAGATGCAAATTGCCTATACCTCCATGACACCCATCAGCCAATCAGGAGCGAATATGCAAATAAACCCACCATCTTTGTTGGGTTAATTTGCATACATAGGCGTGGAGCAAAGACTGAAGGCTCTGGCCCGAGTGAAGACTAATGACTGAAGACTGAAGCCTGATGGCTGAAGACGACTGAAGATTGAAGAGGCTTGGCTTCTCTGCTGTGGCCAGAACAAAGGCCTGGGTCCTAGATGCCGGCAGCCAGGGGAAGACAGGACTATTGCATGAATCTTCGTGCAATGGGCCTCTAGTTTTTATATACAATAAAAAGAGGGTTCATAGAATTCTACTTGGATTTCACTTTTTTTGTCTTTTAAGAAAGAAGTCTTGGGTTCCATTAAAACAGGGAATGATAATGAAGTAATACCCTTGAAACCAAACCAACAAGTGGACTTCTGAAGGCTCCTTTCAGGTTTTACTGTAGTTTCAGTGGTGGTCCCCAGCGACATTATCCACAAGGCCGTAAAATGATAGCGCTCCCACACCTGGGGAGTGGGCGCAGGTTCCTACCCCACCTGGAGGGTATCTTCTGCACAGTCTGGGATGCCTGATGTCTGCAACATCAGGCATCCCAGACTGCCCACGGGCCAAGTTAAATCTGGACAAAGTGAAGTAGCTGCTAATTTGTAGGGTAGTTGTTCGATGTAAAGTGTTGCAGGTACAGGTGAAAGGAATCTCCTGATTAAGGAAAAAAGAAAATGGTACCAAAAACCCACCTAGTGAAGAATCTCACTTGTAATGTCTTACAGAAATTGCTTTTCTGGTAGTAATTAAAAAAAAATTTTTTTTTTAAATATGTTTTTATTGATTTCACAGAGGAAGGGAGAGGGAGAGAGAGAGAGAAACATCAATGATGAGAGAGAACCATTGATTTTCTGTCTCCTGCACACCCCCTATTGGGGATGGAACAGGAAACCTGGGCATGTGCCCTGACCGGGAATAGAACCGGTGACCTCCTGGTTCATAGGTCGATGCTCAAGCACTGAGCAACACCAGCTGGCTTTTGGTCGCCATGTTTAAAGAGTTCACCAGATGACCTTGGGGTCACTGTGATGAGGATGCCTTTCCTGGCTGTGGACCTCAGTCACTGACCACTCACAGCCCCCAAGTAGCCTGGCTTCTGTCCATGATTCACTTTTATGCTCCCTGAGATCTGGTTTGCTTCTGGAAAATTAACTTTAAAAAAATAATCGATTTTTCTTTTCAGAGCAGTACAGAGTTCCCACATACTCCCCCTCTACCTCAGTTTCCCTGTTACTAACACCTTGCACTAGTGGGGCACGTCTGTTATAATTCATGAACCAATATCGATACAGTGCTCTTAGCTACAGCCTGAAGTTTACACTGGTGTTCACTTGCCGTGTTGCACGTTCTGTGGAGCTGACAAATGCAGGTTTACTTGGAGGGACTTCGATTCTCCACCACTTTTGTAAATAATACACTTTTCTCAAAAGCCCCAGGAAATGTCTACTCGTAGAACTGAATTAACCATTTCTGATCGATGAGGTCCGATTGTTAAGCGATTGATCAGACTTCTCTGGAGCTCATCTTCGTGCGCTCATTCGGCCTACTGTGTCGACAGAGTCACACAGTCTGGGAGGGGACCTGCTAACTAGCTTGGCCATTGGCCACTCTGAAGGCCGAGGAAAACAGATCGACCAGGCACACTGGGAAAATGGCATGCACAGGTCTCAGAGGAAGGTACACTACGTCTCAGGGAAAAGAACAGAGCGTGAGGGGTGCTGCTCTTTCCAATCCCGGTTCTTACCTCTCAGGCCAGGGCCGCTGGGAGGCCAGCAGGAGAGGGGAGCTGAGGAGGGTCAAGGCTGCACCCCCAGCATCCACACGGCTCAGCTGGAAATTGCTAGACTCCTCAACAGTTTGGAACAAGGAGGTGGGTGGTCAGGGAAGAAAAACATCTTTCTCCAAGATCTCTGTGTTTTAAATGAAAAGCACTCTAGTGTTTTCCTTAGTGTGATACAACTTAATTTTTGCTTTTAATGTGATCAGACATCCCG